TGATATATATCTATTTGCTAATAAAGTCATAAAGGGCGCCTCACACCTAAGCGCTAGAAATGAAACTCACAGGGTTGCAGGCCAGTAAATAGGCCGAAAACTGCTTGCGCGCGAGCCACATCACAATATTTGTATACACTCACGTTCTTTACGAAATAGTTCATTTTGTGGCCCATGAACTTGAAGATTGTAGAGAAGACAGGTTTAGGCGAGCAAAAAGAATATCAGCTTGTGTCTGAGTGAGATTTGGAAGAAATTGGTGCCTGAAAACGGTTTATTTTTCGAGAAGTGTAGGCAACGAGTGCTTAGGGGTTACCTTCCGTGGAAAAAAAATCATCAAAAGTAATCAGTTAATGAATGGAAATCTGAAAAGAAAATGAAAAATCATTAAATGAGCTTTAATTTGGTGTGCATCCCAAACGCCTGAGAAACTCGTATTTTTCCTGATTTTTTTAAGTTCAGGCATTTATCACTAGTCTTGGCTATGGCAGTTAATTTACTGGCATGCACCCACAGAGCGTTGAAGGGCGCCACCAATTCTGCCCTACCGAGAAAGCCAGTTCGGTTGATTCTCTCCTCTTGGCGCGAGACAGTCAACGGCGTAAATATTGATTCGTCTTTAGCTGTGCTTAGTCACCTTCCTGATGTGCATCCTCGACCGATGTTTGTAAACACCTAATGCTCGCTACAGTCACTAACTGAGCAGACGTACTGGTAGTTTTCAAAACTCATGAAAAATTCATTTCAGACAAGGGTACAAGTTATGAATCGATAAAATGAGGCGAAAATCCGAAAAAAGTGGATTTTGGCGGACATCTTTCCCAATAACATGGGTTACCTTATCAGATGTGAAATTTCTTCAAGTAGGTTTGAGGAGACTATCTACAAATCTACAGAAAATTAAAGTAGCCACCGGCAATGCCTTCGGCATATTTTCTCCATGGATATACACAGCACAATAGTTCCCTGCCATAGCTCCATGGCCTATACATGTATAACCATAACGAACACTTCAGTCATGAACACTTGAAAATCGATACCGACATTTCAAAGCGCATTAACTGAAGAAGACTAATCGATTATTCACGTCAATGACTAAAACGGCTACAACGGCCAATTGGAAACGAATCAGAAACCAACCGAAGTTGCAGGTATTGGTACATGTAATTTGGTCACAACTTTAAAAGACTGAAAATGGGGAGGGACATTATTAAGAATCTCATTCAGGAGGCCCAGAATTGCAGTTTAAACAATAATTAAAGGAAATCAGGGGAGTCTTCTTGAAATAAGGGGCTGAGTTGTGAATCACTGCGAGGGGAAGTGTGAAATCAAGCTACGTTGAAAATGTGGCCTCCGGTATAAAGGCGGAATATTTGTGGGGAAAATTGGCAAAAGGGTTTTCATGTAACAAGGAGGTATTTTCCCTTTGTGGGGATCTATTCGCTCAGCCAAACGATCGGGAGACAATACGCAGCCGGACCACCGCAGACTCGAAGCATAAAAGCCGAACTAGGAGCATTGCCAATTTTGCTCCCAACAAAGAACCGGGGTACGCACTCTCATTTGAAAACGGACGCTGGCGTTTCGAACAAAGGCTGAACTTCCACGTGCTTCGGTCAGCGACCAGTGAGGTACGAGATCGATTTTGGTGTTTGACAAACTTTTAAAGACAGTCTACACTAATACGGGAACAGAAATGACATATGTAATCATGCAATTACGTCATATCCGAGTCAAGTACAATTAAACGAAAACGACTTTAGTGTCTGGTTTTCTCTGGTAAACTTATTTATTTATAACGTGGATGGAAGGTGGCTATTATTCATAAACAAAATAACACAATAAAGCAATCTACACTGTACAGATTTCAAACTTATAACTGAGTATTTTCTTTATACATAGTAAGCGTTAGATATTTAAGCAAGGAGTATACATTCAGCAACAACTGAAAGTTTTTTTCGAAATGCGAACTATGTAAAACAGTGAACCACCTGTGAAGGATCAGGATTGTTCAAGATACTAGGGAAAACCGTAAAAATACAGGTCAATGTAAGGCATTTCCGGCCGTGCACAGGCGTTGTTACATAATTGCGGTTTCGACATAAACATGACGACTTCCAACATTATTTTACGAGGCACCAGAGTCATGGTAGGAACAATGGTCACTTGCAATACTTCTCGAGTAGAAATAAAATGCCTGCTACCCTGACTTATTTGGATTACCTTCTCATGCATAGGCCTACCTGAATGATGGTACATGTACATGTATATAGTATTTGTGCTTTGAAGCACAACCCATAAAATTGACAAGATTTCCCAACTATCCATTGAAGATAAGATTCCTGGTGAATCAACAGTGAGCATGGCGGCCTCGAAATACGTTTGACCAAAACACGATGTTGGCGTAAGCCGAAACACTGTACATGTATACGGAATGATGTCAACAAGGCAGTTTGAACGATATGAAATTCCAAAATGCCGACAATTTCAATGTTGCGCAATGAACGAGCTGCATCGCAAATATCCCGATATCAGCTACACAAGGGCAGTTTTGGAACTACGTTACATCAACGTACACGGTCAAAATGTGCCTTGAATGTATATAATAAATAAGTTTGATAATTGTCTTACAAAAATGCTGCACTTTCCTTTTTACGTTAGAAGCCATAAAATGGTCAAGAAAATGATCATTTACATCCGAACACTGTATCAAACATTTTTGTACATATTCAACAAGCCCTGTGTAACCATATCTTTGTAAGTATAACCTTGTTAGTCTGCTTAGTACTTACTTGGAAAGTAAAAAAAAAATTACTAAGCATTGAACTTTTCCGCTTTCAATTGGCATCTGCAGTTTGAACGGGAAATGCTGAACAATTTGTGTAAACCTCTTTTCCGTAAAACGGGCTCAACGAAATTTCGGAGTCGAGTAAAGAGATCGAGGGCCAGAAGTTGGCCAGGCCCCTAACTATTTAAATGATACCGTACATAAATGTCAATGGATGTAAACTGCACTTTCTTTTCACTTGGAAAATAATTTCTCTCAACTCAACCTTTGACGTCAAAACCAAAAACTAACGCACAACTTAATATTGGTTCGTCTCAGAGTAAAGCAAATGACACAAAATAAATTTTTCTATCCTCAACGAGAAACAAAAATAAAGAAAACTAGAGAAAGAGCAAGGCTCTCAGGTGACAAAGTTAATATTTTTTTCTTCCGTATGAACAAAAAAAAAAAAAAAACGGGAAAAAGAAAATAAAGACTTTTCAACAGACCCTGGTCTAAATATTCTTGATTATTTACAGTCAGTGAAATGAATTGTATGCTGAAAAGGACTCTGTAAACTGTCCTTCAAAAATGTGATACGATTTCTCCTTTAAAACAAATCTCTTAATTAACACCCTTCGCAAAATCCATCATCGAATTCACTTTTACGCTCTTCCTATTTGACGCATGTCTCCTTACAAATACATGTACAACATCCACAATGTCTTACTAACACTCTTAACTATACACCTACGTCAACAGTATGTACTCAAACTTCTAAATTTTTCTATTCTCTTTCTTTTTTTTTGTAATTGTTTTTATTTATTTATTTTTTTTGCTAGGTTTGTTTATTTTGCTCACCAATGTGCACTTCTGATTTATCATGTTTTGAATTTATTTTTTTTAATCGACACTTACCTAGAACACTATTTCACATATTTACATGTTTTTGATGGAAACTACATATCTCGACATGCATGACTCAGAAACCCTCCCCCCCCCTCGATATATTTCAACACCACCACGAGATTTCTGCTATCTTTGCAACGAGCACAATAATCTCTCGGTTTCTAGGCTACAGAGGCAACATGCGGTAAATGAAAAGTACGAAAATAACTTCAACAAAACGAGTTACCGAGAAATGAAATAAATAATGTACATGACATATTGTATGCTTTTTAGCATGGCTCCTTTCATGCAGGCGCGGCGCTACAGTAACTTTTAAATGCTGGTTTATACAAAATTATATCTCTTTCTCTTTATATTTACAAATTTGAGTACAGTACATACAAAACAAAAACAGAACCAAAATAACAGTTACATGTATATACATACCAACGGCCGCTATAAGCCCTCTGAAAATAATGTTTAGGAATTATTTCCATTTTCTCCCCGGGAAACTATTTGAAAATGGAGAAAGTGACTGAAACTGACTGCATGTTACTTGTTAACGCCACCGGGACAAATCCTACAACACACGTACAAATATATCTATAAATATATGTAAATATTTGCAGTATGCAAATTAATAAATAATAAGTCCGATATACAGTTAGTACTCGGCCTTAACAGGCTGATAGAAGTACAGGGATCAGATACTTGACCAATCACAGACGTGTTTAGTTACAGCTTATAAAGCTACATGCTTAGTGGGCACGACCGTGCTTGGCAGGTAGAAAAAACTGTACCCTTCAAAAATTGTACCATTAACTGCATAGTTTGTTTGGGACTACAGCAAATTGGATGCCTTTGAGACGGCACACTCAATGTGGCCAGAGTCTTGTTGCAAAAAAGCCTACCAAATAAAATCTCCAACCAAATTTTTTAAAAAAAAATATTGATTGCTATTTCTGCCATTCCCAGCAACCCCTCCCCTGAAATTTCCAACACCCCTCCCACACTGAGAAAAACATATCTTTGCAGTGTGTTTGTGGGCGGATGGGTGGGATGGAGGTCTTTTTCCCAGGGGATTTTCATACTCTTGATCTCAGCTGCCTGCTATCAGTCAACACAAATTTCTCAAAAGTTTCAGAGCTTCTTCATTAATTGATTTTTTTTCCTTGTTTTTATGTGCCCCTTTTCGAAATGAAACTGTAAATTTGTACAGATCAGATAATTTTCCTGTACACAACGAACACTTCTTTGCATTGCATTTGCATAATAAGGAACATATTTTCTTACACACTAACTGTACAACAGCAATTCTTACACTGGTGCACCATAAATAACATACCAGCATTTTATTGTATTGCAAGGAGTTGGCTTACGGGGCTTATGTTCCTTTTTTTTTTAAAGCTTCTTTTTTCTTTTTTGTTCTTATTTATAAATCTCCATTTTCCAACTCATGGTTAGCGAGTGGTCATGGAGGAACGTTTATACTTCGAACCCCATCACACCTATTCCATGACAGCAATAATATCAGTGATATCACTGCCCACCAAACCCACTTGAACTAAAATCAAAGCAAAGTCAACAAATCTATCCATTCAGATCTTTTTTCATCGGGAAATGAAGCAAATTTCCCCTCCCCCCACAAAAAAGAAATCAAAGATAAAAACGAAACTCAAAACCACATTCAGTATGTCGAAATAACGACTGGAGTGTCTTCCCAGTGAACTGTTAACTATGCTTTGATTTAAGCCCAAGAAATTCCTCTCAAAATAATAAATAAATACGCGCTCCTTTACTTGACTAGTTTCATCCTCGATATGAAAGTGAGAGTTCACTTACAAGTTTCTAATCTATTCCTTCTTACTACGGCTACAGCTTCTATTAAAACCATGTTCTAAGACCTTTGTCATTCACCACATTTCATTTGCATAAATGTACAAGTATTTATCATGGGATAATTCTACCATTGCTATTCTGATCTTGGCCAAGCTTCTGGCCGGAATGACACCGTATTAGTAATTCCTATGCAACCTTTTTTTGTATTTTTGAATGTTCAACTTTTTTCTAAACTCTAAACATGGAAGGACAAGGGAACAAGGGACATGCCTGACAAAAGATGACTTTGACTGCATCGATGACGAATCCTAGTTTTCCGTGGTTTCTTGGTGACATCATGCTATGTCATCTGGGTTCATGATCTGTACAGAAACAAGAACAGACAAAATCCAGAAATCTTCAGACCAGTGTTCTCTCAGCAACCTGAAAGTACTCACAACTGCATACAAAATGTTAGTAACTATCTTGTTCTTGCTACAAAAAACACCCTGTCCACAATTAGTCGAGATTGAAACATGCTAAACAACAGTCCCACTAAACTTTGACCTTTTGGTTAGTTCCAAATCCTGCTGACTTTTAAAGCCCACCCCAATGGCAATAAAGGAAAGATTTTTTTGGTTTCTTTCTCTATCAAGGAAGATCCACCTCCTCCAGGACCTAAAGCTCTTGAAGGGAATGAGATTAAACAGCCAGTCATCTTGATCTTCTAAAGTAGCCCATAAAGTAAAACCTAATCCTGTACACACTCTGCATGTGGCCAACCCTAAGACAAGAAAGAAACAATTTATTAAAGTCAATCTATGTCGTACTTACAGGCTTGTATGCTTTGCCTGGGTTGTGCTCGTAAGTCTGGGGTTGGGATAGACAAAACTGGTTTTCTGTTGTCTTGCGGTAAACTGGATTGTCAAAATGCATTGTGCGCTTGCTGTTTCTAAAATATTTCCTGGGAAGAAAAAAAAATAAGAGAACACAAGGTAAGTATCTTTCAAAATGTGATCTACATCCTGGTTTGTTAGCAAGCAAATAACCTGCAAATGTGTAAGACCAGGAGAAGGATATGGCCATGGTTAAATCCGTGGGAAGTGCAAAATGACTATGCTCACCTGTATACAAAGACAATCCCCAGGACCAAAATGCACAAGATGACGAAGATGACGATAGTGACGGGAACGATGACAGAGACAGGTGTGTGATCTCCCGACTGAGGCACAGGGTTGATCTCGTTGCCCTCGTTGTTCTCACCAGATGGCGTCTTTTTGCCTGGCTTAGTGCCAATGTTGTTGCCCATGGTTGTGGTCGGGAATTTGGTGACAGGGTTGGGCTTAGGGTTGGAGGGTGTTGGCTTAGGGTTGATGGGGGAAGTTGATGGACTCGGGTCGATGGGTTTGGGGAAAGACCCACGACAGGTGCGCATATCTGAAATGAGGTCAACTCCATCAGGGCAAAGGCAGGTGTAAGGGGCGGAGCTCTCAGTGATCTGGGGGGTTGCCACACAAAGGTGGGAACAACCACCATTGTTGCTGCCGCAGCGGTTTGATGTGCCTGCAAGATAGGAACGAGAACACGCCAATTACTTGATAATCAGAAATCTGGAAGAAAGCAAAGGAATGAAGAACTTCCTGATCCAAGACTACTGCAATGGATTTTGTTCAGCAGCGGTAAAACAGTCAATGATGTAAGCATACCAGGCAAGATTTACTAAATCTTCACAGGGAGTTGAGGTATCGATGGGATTGATACTTACGGTTTGGTTGTCTGAGTGGATGGTACACTTGAATGTCCATTGGTGAATAAAGCGTGGTCAGCAAGGTCTCGCGATCCATCCCAGTGAACTTGTTGGCCCGAGTGATGCACTCTCTCTGCCAGTCAGTCCAGTAGACGTGGTCCTCAAAGACAGAAATGGAAAAGGGGTGGGGTAGCAGGGAGGGGCTGTTGAGGATGGTGCGGCGGTTGTTGCCATTGAAATCCACAGTACTGAGAGTGTGAAGCTTGGCGTCGATCCAGTATAGACTCTCGCTGGCATAGTCAATGGCGATGCCATTGGGCCAGGCCACCTCCACTGTGACAATTGACTGGCGGAAGTTGCCATTCATACCCGCCCTTTCAATACTTGGGTTCTGTCCCCACTCAGTCCAGAACATAAACCTGTCAGTTTTCGGAAACAGAATGCATGATTAATTTAAAGGGAATTTGTGTATTTGTACAATGAAGACTAAATTCAAACAGTTCATCAGAAAGATAGTTCAGTTGCATTATCCTTAAAATTTATGGCACTAACTTCTTGTGCAAAGAATCTCCACACACTTTACTCATAATCACGAGAAAAATGACAACTTAATTTTGGCTACTTGGTAGAGGACACACAGCAGACTTACCCAGTTTCTGGATCCACAACGATGGCTCTTGGCTCATCAATGTTTTCAGTGTAGAGGGTCTTGGTGTCACCAGTGTTGAAGCACGTCACACCCACCGAGTTATTACCAGTGTCGGTCCAGTAAACCTTACGGTAGATCCAGTCCATGGCGATGCCATCAGCAGTTTCCACACGGTCCATCAGTGTGACTGGGGCACTTGTATCAGCACCACTGATTGAGCCCCTGCAGAGGTAATTAATACATATTACTAACTACGCCGAGCTCGGGCAACTACTACAAGAAAACCAACAAGATAAAATACTTTGGCATCAGGATATGAAGGTGGTGTTTTTGAAAAAACCTCTGTGAAAATTTCAAAAACAATGCCATGTGACACTGTGAAATGGTCTTTGTATCAATGAAAATGGACTTGAGAAATGCTTACTTGTAGATTTTCTCGTCGCCGACATCTGTCCACAGAAGTGAGCCTGTTTGTACATCAAAGTCCAAAGCCACAGCACTTTCTAGGTTGGAGTACAGAGGACGGTAGTGTTGGGAGTGGATGTCAAATCTTCGGATGTCGTGTCGGTTGGCAAAGATGATTTGCGGCTCAGGTCCCAAGGCGCGGCAGAACTGGCCATGGTGTTCAATCAGGTAGCCTTCGTCACAGGTGCACTTGTAGCTACCTTCCAGGTTGTCGCAGCGCTGGCTGCAGATGCCCGGGATAGTCTTACATTCATTGATGTCCACACACTGACCGTCCACCAGCTCATAGCCATCGCGACATGAGCAGTAGTAACCAATGGGGAGGTCGTTACAGATTTGATGGCAGCCCCCACTGTCAACGTCACACTCATTGATATCTAAATAGATACAAATAACAACGTAGTTATGTAACTAAGAGCGAATATGTACATGCAAGAGCTCATTCCTTCTTTGAAGAACAACACACACCTCAATGTAGAAAAGCATCCGTGCCAAGCAGATGTAGCCAACCATATCATTCAAGCACATCCCTTGATATAAACTGTCAACAGAGTTAAACCAGTGTCCACCTGGTTAACCGACTTGATCATTAACAACAAGACCAACGTCTCTGACTCTACTCAGAGCTTTTGAAATGATGAAACCTCTTCCCTACCCTGACACATTACATCTCCCTACCCCCCAGAACACTAGCCAATATCTACTCACTGCAACCGCCTTGCGCCTGCAGGGGTTCGTCCTCCCAACTGCCACAGTCATTGACCTGGTTACACACCAAATCCATTGAAATGCAGGCTCCATTGTGACACTGAAACTCGGTATGCTCAGCACACTGACTAGGCGGCACTACAAAGAAGTAATTAAACAGAAAAATCGTTTTTATATTTCGCTCAGTAAGATACCATTTAACAAACTGTAAATACACCACTTGCTAAGCATTTGTGTAAAAAGAAGAACTTATGGATATGAGGTTTTAGTTCAACTCACCTGAGCATCCCAATTCATCAGAGCCATCTACACAGTCACGCACAGAGTCACACTGTTTGGATCCATCAATACACAGTCCATTGTTACAGGTGAACTGAAAACCAGCACATGTCTCCAGATCTGTAGAAGTTAGAAAAAAAAACATATCTATCACTCAGTCCTTTATTATTTTAAATATCTGTGCAGCTTTACAAAGAGGAACAGCTGTACAGTTTGTTCATTATATTCATACGACACAAAAACATGCCTGTTTGTAATGTATATGTGGATATCACAAACAGTATGCAAATTTTTCCTAACATCACATAGCCTGAAGAGAAATACTTACGACAATCCAGTTCATCTGATCCATCTGTGCAGTCCCTGTCGCCATCACAATTCCAAGACTCATGAATACAATCCCCATTGGCGCAGGCAAACTCCCTGTTGGAGCATGGCGTGGAGGGCTCAGCCTCACATGAAGCCGGCTCATCTGAATGGTCCAAGCAGTCGCTGTCGCCGTCACAGACCCAGCGCTGCGGGATGCAGAGGGAGTTGTTGCAGCGGAACTCGGTGGGGGCACAGGTGGGCTCAGGGCAGCCTTGCTCGTCCGAGTTGTCCCCACAGTCGTCTTCGTGATCACAGTGCCAACGAAGTGTGATGCATTTCTGGTTACTGCAGGTGAATTCATTGGCCTGGCAAGTCACATCCGCTGCAATTAACAACATGTCCAAGAAAATAAACAACAGCGACGAACTGCTATCAAGACAGTTCACTCACTTTAATTTACAATGGCAATGGAAAATCTAAGAACATCTCATCAATGAAAGCAATTTGTTTTCAAGCTATAACCACCTTTCAAAAAACTTGATAAAAAAAATCTGTTTAAGAAGTGTACAAATAGGGGCAAATAAGACAAGACTACATACCACAATCCCTCTCATCTAAGCCATTATCGCAGTCTAGGTCGTGATCACACACCCAACTTCTTGGGATACAAGTGCTACTCTCCCCACAGCTGAACTGGTCAGCACGGCAGGTCTTTTGGGCTGCAACAACAAACAATATGACTGTAACGTCAAAATCAGGCTCAGGACCTTTCCTGTACTGGCGAACAAGTCAAACTCACATCAAACATGCCTAACACACATGTGGAACAATGTAAGAGCAGAAATTTGGCATGTTTCAATCCCAAACCTAATGCCCCAGACAACACAGCTGTTCTAGGCGATAATGGAACTGGGTTGAAGACTGGAAACGGATTAGCAAGTTCAATAAACACAAGATCTACATGTATACTGTGAAGTTCAACTGGCAACAAGAAATTCCTGAAAACATTTTCAATGCACCTTTAGTATGGAAGGGAAATCAACTTCACAACCATGCCATGAACCTACTTGAACCAGCAAAAATATAGTGGCCCAATTGTCTGGTTTTTATGCTAATGTGTTGTACAATTCAGCCAATGGGCCGACTGCACTGCAGACAGCATGTTATGCCAAGCAAATCCCCATTCTGCCATTCTGGATCTCTAGAGTCTACCTAAGTTACATCCCTCCCAGTGTGAGCCAATTCAACCCAGCCTGCATTTTGCTGGGAAAATATGGTTTGCCGTCCAGTAACTAAGAGCACCACTTCAGAAAAACATACTTGGATGACATCACAGGAGAAAGCTTCAAGTAATATGGGGATTTTGGGACATGCGGATAGGTCTGGTGGGTAATGACAAAGCTATTTGAATGTCCTTGAGTTATACAACAGAAGAGAGTTTGAACCCGAAACCAAACTTGAAAGTGTAAGTAAGCCCACAAAACAGTGAATGCATAAAGTGTAAATGCTTTGAGCTGCATGTAGGTTTCAACCACACATACACACCCACATTTTATGGCGCCAGGTGGTAAGAAATAAACAAGAGTGTGGGTTTATTGACAGTTGGATCCTATCAGGGATGATCAGGCCATTTCTCCTCTCCATTCCTACAGGTAGATGTTATGTAACACCCCCAGCGGAAAGCAGCCAAGCATAAATAGTTCTTTTCACAATAAATTCCCTGTCCTCTATCTGTTAAGGTACAGTCCAACAATTTTTCTTTTCTTTTTAAAATTCCACTCTTGATTCTCTAAAGCTGTGCATCAGTCTCAGTTCAAGATCTGGAAACACGTTCATCTTCATCTCAAACTTTTCTTTGAGCTTAGTAATTCTACTAATTGTAAAACCCATCCTTGCTTTAAAAAGTCTGAAACAACCTGTCAGCATAAAATCTCAACCATTTTATGACACTAACGGGACAAACAGGTAATGGCCTTAGGTCTGTCACTTAGAAAACCTCAATTGTTACTCCTGTATGAGAAAGAATGTATAAATAATGGATCCAGAACTTTCAACCCAAAACCCAGATATGCAAATAATTATGATCCTGTACTCAACTACAACATGCACCAACACATCTCTAATGGCCTCATATACAGCTCCATGGACAAACCTAGCCAAAGTTTGTACTTTGTGTATAGTCACAGTAAATCCCACTAAGGCTTGGACAATAGCACCTGGCTGCAGCAGGCTGCATATTTTGAATATAAATAGAATGGAATTTGCACTCAGGATGGGCCAACAAAAGAGGATGGCAAGGTTTTTGATCAACTTCTCTGAAAAGAGTGCATATGTAGTTGGATGCCTAAAGGCATGGATTGTAAAGCTTGTACTATTCAAAGGGGAAACTCCTTAAAAGTTCCCCAACTCAACAGACACATTAAAAATGTGACTGTTGAACTTAAAAAGAATGTGCTTCCAAAACATCAGTTCAATGATTTCCGATTTCAAAAATAAATTAGACCCCCTTAACAAACCCTGTAACCAGATTTGTTTTGAGGATGGACCCTTGATCACGCCATTCCACAGCTATATTGGAAATTCATCAGGCATGACCTTAAATAAGCCCAACTTCCAGACTCTGTAGCCTGAGAAAGCCATTAGTTGTGGAGTTAATAAGGTGGTTGCACGAAGCTAGGGGTCCATGCACAGCACCCTTGTAGACAGGTGACGAGTGGTGAGAGGAAACCGAGGTGTCTACCTTACCAAAATTCACACATCAACAATTCTCCAAAAAAAATTGTGATTCTGCGAAGATTTTACCAGTGAGGATAACTCAACTTGGACCGTTTCTAAATATGTAAACATAAAAGTGAAACAGCTAGAAACCTTGGTTTAATGTCAGTGTACTTTTTAACAGGGACAAGCTCCAAGGAGAGATTTGAATTTCGATATGAAAACCACTTTCTGTTCTTTGCTAGGAAACAAAACAAAACCAAAACATTCTTACAGATACTCAGTGTTGAGAGTGGCACTGTTTCCAGTGGAGCATTTAGTGCATCCAAAATGAAGGTTTGATTTGAGAAAACAAGTTAAATCAAAATGTCCAGTCCCTTTGTGGAATATGCCTAGCCAGCCTTTTACAAGGACAAGTGGTTTCGGATTGCTATTTTGTGACCCTTGACCTTACGGTGAAATACATGCTTTCCCTATTTGCTGCCTCTCCCCCCAAGGGCCAAAAATCAAAAGGTTGGGGGCAGCAAATTCATTTCCAGGGAGAGGTCAGCCTGCAGGTCATGCTGGGAGGGGGGGCAGGCCCTCAGGGGGCAGGCAGAGAGAGGCCAAGTTCTTTTCCTGTTCACCATGGGATGTTTAGGCAGTAAGACGGCTTTCTTTCAGTCAGGTTTCTGATGTCCAGCACAGTTCTGCTCAAGCTTTCGCAACCCAAGAGACATTTGGGGGGGGTATCATATCACCGCTAGAAGCCCCGGTTTTCATTAAGAATCATTAGGTGGGTGCACTGTATTTCGACTCAAAAGAGAAAAACGAACTAGGCATATGCTGTGCTAATAACAGAATTTTCAGTTCAGTGATCCAGAACTTCTGCAAAATTTTCCAGAAGTTTTTGTATCGCTTATTGGGGTTAACAGAAACAGAGCCCAGAATAAAAGCTGTGTACATGGATCAAAGAGTCAAAGTCAAGGTGTTGTACTTTGGAATTGAACACGACAGTCAAACAACTGATAAACACTTCAACCAATGTACCTTCAAAACGTGAAAGCTATCGTAAATGTTATCCTGTATTTACTGTACTACTAAGCCATGAGTATTGTGCTTTAGTGATAAGATAGGGCAAATAGATTCTTTTATCAATGCTGTCTGTTCTGTTTCCTAGTAAATAAGGCCACTGGTAAAGTCGAAATCTAATCTATACACATACACACAACTACACACATGCACTGTAATTTTCAACTACTAGCGCATGTGATGAGTGAGCTCCGTAGTCAGGAAATAAGTAAATTTGATTGGAACATAACGGTCGCCTTAACTACCAGCACCTTTACTGATCTGCATGTCATGTAGCTCTATTTTTTTTATCACTGGAAGACATATTGTCAGTTTCAAACCGGCATCTTGAATTTGGGTGCAGGAAAACAAACACTGTGGGGGTATGGGATAAGAGATGGATTAGATTGATTTATTAATAAAAGGAAACCTACCACATCTAGTAGCATCCTCATCTGAGCCATCTGCACAATCTAGATCTCCATCACAGTGCCATCTTCCAGGGATGCAATGCTCACTCCTACATTCAAACTCGGTAGAGCTACAGGTCCTGGGTGCTGTAAACAACAAGAAATGTACAAATACATCAAGTCTTTATCAAATAACATTACACAACTTGTCCAATTCCAGGCTGTAGTTCTTACATTAAGACAAAGAAATTCTAGCATTTTATCCTGGTTTGGCAAACACTTTTTGGGTGATTCAGTCATAATTATTTGACCTTGCTTAACACTTTCAAACTACTTGATATATTGATCAAGCACCGGGCGCATGAGGGCCATGCATCGTATTGAATTCCCACAACCTCTTGAGAGCAATCTCCCAGTATGCTGGGGCATTTTAGAGTACCAAGCAATACCAGCAGGTTGCACCATCTACGTGCCCACCTCTCCTTTACTGCTTCTGAACCGGTGACCTTCAGGAAAGAGGAAAGTGCTGCTGTTACTATAGTGGCAGGTGTGAAAGCGCATTTTCGGCCTTGTTGGAACCAGGAGAGCCTGGTCACACCATGTGGTGATCATAGATTCATGAATGGCACAAACTGAATCACGCAGACACAAGGAAACTGGAACTGATGAAGTCTGAACCATCCCTTCAAAGGTGAAATTCTCATTTGTCCAGAGTTCACAACTTAAAGCACCTGAATACTACGAACACAAACCAGATACTAAACAAGAAATTCAAAACTGCATTCAACTCTTTCAGTATAACCCCTGCTGTTTTCTTTGTACAGGAAGTGACATTTTTTTAGGAAAGCATTCAGAACACAGTGCCAGGCTCAGGCTGCAAGAACTCTTTCACCTCTCCACCAGGTGGTTTTACAAGAAAAATGGAAAAGGTCTGGGAAAATGCAGGCTAAGCAATATTTCACTGCACAGATCCAACTGGGCGGATTGGGATTTGGGAAAGCATGTAAAAAGGCAGAATAGAGTGCTTGCCACGGCAATATGATTAAGACCAGTCCCCAGTTCAACCAGTTGACTGGTGTAGTCTTTGCACATTCTGTGTACAAATAAAACTGATTTAAAAAACATGTTTACCAACTCTGAAGATTAATGGTAGGGATATCGTTGGAACACTCAATGGAATTTAAAGGATTATTGAACTGAAGCTATTTTTCCCTTAGGGCTGTTGACAGGGAAGCACATGTATCATGTGAGGTTTTATTTGTATTGTCTGTAAAGGCGCAAAATCAATGAGCAACACCTGTGAAAACAGGAAACAAATCACCTGTTGTGACCACTTATGGTTTATGTAAACAAACCCAGTTACTTATTAGGATGTTGCTTACAACGGAACAGCATTACCTGCATCTCCAAACAGTTGAAAAGGCAAAAAACCATCCTATTTTTCTTGGTTTTATTACTGCTGTAACTACAATACAAAATTTCCACATTGGTGATCAAACATTTCCGGGTATGCTGCACTAAATAGAATACAACTAATACCAGCACAAAGTCAGGTGACAGAAATAACCGAAGGTGTGTCATAATGCACTTTCCACGGTGACACTGAACTACTTTTCAAATAATTTTCGGTATTTACAAGGATTCAATGCAAGTCAATATGTCTTCAGGCCCTGTGCCTCAATATTCAAAAGTGAAATGCCCATCTGTGTCGAGAACTCTTTCGAATGCAAAATGATCTGCCAATTCTGTATCAAATACTTCTTTCATATTCATATATTTTTTCAGGAAAGGGAGACGAGGAGAACTCTGACACATTCTCTTTAAATTTACGTCTCAGCTGCAGAGTGGCTAATTAGGTTACCAAATGCGCATGTCAACAAAACATTTTACTGAATCGTAATATGACTGGCAATCTAATATCCGCTAATGATCCACAAGCCAATTACAAGAGCAGTCAGTCACACAATTCTAAATGAAAGGACACATTAGCATGATGTGTTTGGAGTCATCCCAGGGCCCAGAGATGGGCTGAGCAGAAACCACAGCTAACGAAGCCTCTCATTGGACAAGGCACACTAGGGATGTAAAACCTCAACCCAACAGACATCCTATTGGACCAGGATGCTCTAGTCTCATCAGCCAGAGTGTAAAGATGAAAAGAACGGAGCCTCAAGTTCTGTGAGACCCTTTTTCACAAGCTTTCAATTAACTAAAATGGTATTACAATGCGCATCTATTTAGCTATATTCATTTAAAGGAACATGTCTCATTTTCCTTACAATAGAGCTAAGTAAAATTTGCCAGGCTTTTCTTGTTTAGAATATTTTGGAGATATTCACGAGCTGCACCAACTTGGAACGTAAAATGTGCAAGTGGTATGATATCAAACCATCCCAGACTGATGATCTAATCCACTGCAAACAGGATTTCTGTTCAACTGTTGAACTTTCAGGGATCAGTTTAATTAGTAAAATGTTTTACACTGTTCTTCAAAAGATGAATATAAAAGAATTATTATACCCCCACTCATTTTTTTGTCTAGGAATACAGGTTGAATATTTTTCTTTCTTTTTTTTTAACTTACATGGTAGGTTCCAAGTAAATCACCCCTTGGAATTAGGGTTAATGTCAACCCAACTACTTTTCGCCGCCTGTAAGCCTCACATTACACAAAGACTGCACAGGCATGGACCTTTTCAAGCTTAGGTAAATCCCTTTTCAATAGGTACCTGCTGACGGCATCCCACCAACAGGAAATTTACACAAAGCTCCAAGTGTTGTGAACTGTTCCCACAATAAATACCACTTTTCAAATATGTAAATAGGGTGAGGTGAGCTGTGTAAACCTTGAATTCCATGTAAAATTGGGCGTGTAGTCAGTGGTGCCACTAATGATGGCCTAGTGGGTGAGGTTACTGTACTGGTGTGTACAAAGGTCACAGAGACTGAGCCACCAGTTGCCTTCCATTTTACCATCTCAATGCTTTTCACAGAAACTAATTTGAAAAGTATCACTTCACAAGCTTGCTGTCTTGGACAGAATTTCTGGCCCCCTAAAAAATGTGTTTTAAGTTGCTGAAGACAATACTATCTACATGTGTTTTATTCCTCCATGGCTACCTGTCTACTCAAACAATTAAGTAGTCTACCACATTAAACCGAACTCCCCCACCTCACAAATTGGGTGCACTGTGTTCTAAGGTAAGGCATTTAGTTCATATAAACCGTTTAGTAGTATAAACCGTATTGTATAGACTGGTTCTTGCAACAGTGAAATGTATATCTTGCCAAGTTGTAAAGGAGTCTATCGCTACATGTACTTGGCCCTTCGTGCAGGTTGACTTTGATGAGTCTGTTCCAACTGTTCAAGCAGTTAATGCTGACTTCGATTTGGGCATGGAGGTAGAATACCTCCATGATTTGGGTAGCACTTAACACATTGCATTTTTATCTTCTAAAGCCTAATGCAGATTAAGCTTATTCAACAAATATATCAGTGCTACGACTTAAGCAAAACAGTCAGTTTGTACTTAATCTCAATATGGTGAGTAGTTTTAAGGGCTACAGAAGTAACTGATCCGCTGACATAAAACTAAGTTTGGGATTATAATACACATTTCGATAGTAAACTCTCTCAGCTATATAACGCTTACAAGTTAATGATTCATCCTCTATGCGAGATTTCTTCCCTCCAAAGATAATTGCATTTTAAGAGGTTGAACATGTATTACCAAGGTCAAAGGTCTAACAAAACCTTGCCATCAAAACACTTAATGGAGGGAAAACACAACTTGAGGAAGGGGGATCATTTAATAGGTATCCGGAGGTCACTTGGATGACTTAGTTTTTCCAGACAGTCAGTATGGAGTCTCCTTAAGAACTACTTCCTTTACCCACCCCTTACTCATCATACCAGGGTCGGTCAAAGGAGGGTAAACAGGGTCACGTACAGAGCCAAATATGGTGAAAACCGTCTTAGAGCCTTCAAAAGTGCTGATGATTTTCTAACCGTCGCTCTACAAACAACTTTTTACAAGTGGAAAACCCCAAAATTAATAATTGCATAAAGTTCAGTCGTCTGATAATACGACTACGGGTGTGATGATGGGCGAATCAGTTCCATGATGTTACTAAGCCTTAAACCCTGTTCACGGCATTTAAACTCAATACTTTCAGATAAAAATCCTCATTCCTTTAACCCTCTACCCAAAATGGAGGAATAAGCCATTGAACAAATTCATGACACGACGACCACGCCATGCCGCGTTAATCAACTCTGCATATTAATGTGCCAAGCCCATCAGCCCAACCACCCAGTTGGTCCGCGTAGGCTCAGTCGATGTATGACTGACCAATCCCGTGACACGCATGATGAATAATTCATGTTTCCTCGCGCCACTGATTCACAAAATACAACGCATCATCATAAAATGGCAACCAGCCAATGAGCATTGCGCACTTTCCCGACGAATCATAACATTGAAACAACAACACGCCCGGCATTTTTACTACAGCCGGACAGCATGCTGTCCTTGTATCAATAGCGACACGCATGGGAATCCAAGTGACCATGCCTGTCAGCAAGGGAAAAAAATAATACATGAAAAAAATTTGAAAAAGTCCTCTGGTAAATTTTCGTTTATGTTACAGATTTTAATAGTATTCCAATTTAACGAAAGGCCATTAAAAATAGGCCTACAGTATATATTGTAACGGGGCCTCGCACTCACGTTGAACTTGGATTGTTTACATTTAACGCTACGCCTAGTCAATTAAAACCAATGAAGGTTTTACAGAGTGTTAAAAATATAAAGGGGAAATATTATACTTACGACAATCGTTCTCATCAGAGCTGTCGCCACAATCATCTTCCTGGTCACAAGTCCAAATCTGTGGGATACATTTCCCGTTCTCGCACTTGAATTGATCCGGTCCGCATTGACCTACACAAGAAAGCAAGCATATTTTGCTGAAATCTTCGGAACATGGCTTTATCGATGACTACGCCTAATTTTTCCTATGAAAAAATGGGAAATTAGGCCGCTGCAAAACAAGGGGAAACCTGAGAAAGTGAGATTAACAGTCGCGCCGGTTTGCCAGCAGGCCTGGGCAGCCAGACATCATGAACATGCTAGACTATGTTAAGGCCCCTATGCCTCATCATGCACATCACTCAGTCTGGACTGTCTGGCTACGCTGGCAAAACGCCGGCCGGCAAAGATGATTTAGATTACGTTACACATTTCTGTACACAAATGGAACAGCCAACCATAAAACAAAATTCTCATTTTATTCGTCAGAGCTTACAAGAGAGAAATACTCACAAGGTCAAAATGAAAATAGGCATAATCTTCAGGCTGCCGTGCCCGCCCAATGCGGCTTCGCTTGGCCCAAAAATGAATGGCGGGACCCTCGTGCACGTTTAGTCAAAACAATCAGCGAAGACCGTAAAATAACCCGACAAATACTTACTTCTTACTCCTCGAAAGCATAGCACAAGTAACACCAAAAGTAATGCAGATAGTAATCTCAACGTATGTTCCATTGTTGATGCAAAGAAAAGCGCCAAATGTTAGAAAATCGATGTATTTCCTCGACTGATTTCTGAGCACTCCAAGATGCGTTGTTTTCTACCAAGCCGTAACGTATTCTGATCAAGCCGGCACCGCGCGCGGGCCCGGCATGCCTGGACAGTAGTAGTGTTTTGGAATGACGTCACGACCAGCCTGCCTAACGACTGTGTGCCGCGCGGGCAAGTGACTTGGTACGCTGCCAAGAGATAGGGGAACCACGCCTCAATTTAATACAGAATGTATGTGCACCTACTCTCGAAACCATGTCCGGGCATGAGGTCTGCATAGGCTGGCCATCGGCCAACTGAACTAATTTGAGTACTCCTTATGAGCATTTTGTGTTATCTTCACGGTAAATTGCGCGACATCAAAAGGGTCTATAACTTATTACTGCATTCAGATCCCACTAAAAATTTTTGTGCATCAATTTCGTGTTGACTAGAAGAACGAAACTATGAAAGAAATTTACAATATTAGACCACATAATTACCAACAATAAGTCAAACGACTAAATAGCAGTATTTTGTGAAACAATGGAAACAGGCTACACAAAAAAATTAACTAGGAGACATAGATAACCGCATTAGAGATATTATTCGAGCTACAAACATCCCCATACGTGAGCTTAATTTTAACCCTAAAAGTCCTCAATCCTCAAACAGGTGAAAACCTGAGGACTGTTAGGGGTGAACACTTCTAATGGGGCGTTTTTCTCCTGCGATTTGTTGGAGCAAAATCGAATACAGGAAAGGAAATTCTAAATCGTTTGTGTATTTCTCAAAAATATTTCAGCTACGTCATGCATGGTAAGCTGTGGTTTTTCATGGCGAGATGAATACTAAGAATTTTAAATGCATAACTTTAAGTGTTACGTTTTTCTTCAAGTTGTTGAGCATAGGCCTGTAACTTTTGTTGAGGAGAGACTTCACACTATGCGTCGTGTGTGCACCCAATCGCTCACTGAACGTCTAATTTGCGATTTCTTCAAGAAACTGGTTTGTTTTAATGATAATTTATTTCTGGTAGTGACACGAAGGATTCCTCAAAAGCCTCCTCCTTGGCGCTGTAGCTCGCAACCCTGAAGAAACCTGTTGAGAGGAGACTATGAGAAGCAGTTACAGTTTTAGAGGTGGGTGGAAAACCCCAGAGGAGTTTTCTGGGTAAAACCCACGGAATCAGGCAACGGAATCAGGTAGGGACTGAAAATCCAACTCACATGTGGACTGTGCCGGGGAATCGAACCACTATACGCCAACCCAAATGTTTAACATTTGTTAGAAAAACCTGGCTCATTGCTCAAATGCTGTTAATATATAAAATTCGTATTTGAAAAGTCCCTGTTTAGTCGGTCTCTGATGCTTAAAAAGAAGATTAGCTTTGAATGCATAGTTTCGTGCGTTTGACGGATAGGACCACGTACGCTCGAGCAGGATGTAGGCCTGTGCTGGAGCCGCAAATCTGCATTTTGGGGACTCCCCTGGCCCCATGCGCGGCTTTTCCTGCCCTCTTTACTTTAGGTTGGTACCATTTGGCGGAGATTGCCACAAGAGGCAAAAAGCTTTCGTCCAAAATTGAAAATATCCGGGATGGTGGGTCATTGGAAAGTTCCTATTTTTGTAATCGAAGCTACAGAGCATTCCGCACGTCTCTGCGTTTACCGACAAGCGTCTGTGCACGCGTTAAGTGGACGCCGCTGATCGCCGTAAACGCAAACAGGATGGTCCACTCGTCCTATCCTGCAGTATACCAGGCGGGTCATTTCATGTACAAATCGAATTTCATTATTGTTGGGCCTATAACCTCTAAGTTTAGTTCATGCTTCCTTGACAAATAAATAATAAAGAGTTATTGTGAACCACAAAACCAATTTTCCCACGTAGACTATGACGGGAGGAGTTGGGAAACCCATCGGGTGACTTGCCCTTTCATGCAAACTGGTTTCCCATTCCAAGGTTTCTCCGTTTGTTGACTTTACATTTTGTGAAGTGTGCCAATATTTGATGACTGCTGTTTGAGTGATACTGCATAGGACGCAGTGGGGCTTATTTTTAGCCTTTGTTGACCCACGGTATGAAGCTCCAATTTGATGTGAAAGGTCCATATGACTCGAGAAGATGAAAAAAAAAATTACTTCAGCTGCTGGTATATGACCGGATCTTGTCTGTTATTTCTGGAAAACGTCGGCAAATTGTTGATTGAAATAGATCAAAGAAAATCAGAGCATAGAACATTTGACCAAATGTACGAATATTTAAATATTTAAATCTTGCCGATCACGGGCTTATGACCCGTTCAACGGATGGGAACGTATGGTCGCTGTTAATGTTTTTTAAATAAAGATTGCCGACGGAATACGGTATGTAATTTACTTTATTGGCTGCGTAGGAAGCCAGGTTTGGGTAAATTAAAATGGTGTACATAAAAATAGTTCTCTAAAACTACAACGAAGGCACAACGGTTTCTTTGTGCATGTCAAGAAAATATCGCGCGCGGCTTAATCTTTTATCACGAATATTCAAATCGCAATGTTTGGTTGATGATCGGATATCGATATATTTGGCACAGCCCTATATCTTCCATGTGTTTTATCGAAATCGGCGTTGGCTATTTCTGAGGAAATGTTCACCTTTTTGGGGCATGAGGTAACTGATAATGAATATGGGTGTAGCTTCCCCGATTTTCATTAATATTGTTCAGTGAAAAACCAAGCAGCATTCCAGACATTGTTGCGGTTTTCGCCTTGTGAGGCTGAGCTTCCAATGTTCATTTCTTCACTGCATGAGAAGACGATCGCTTTCAAAAACCGCAGCCTTTCCTTTCCCGCTTGAAGCAACACACAAGAGCAGAGAAGTGTATTCCAGCATCTCAACAACATCAATTTTCCGCAGACAAAGGATTCTAATTTCTTTTTAAAAGAGATAAAGATACGTAATATCGTCCCGCTGTTGGCATTCGCGTATCCGCAAAAGTTATGAAAGAATATATTTTATTCAAGTAAGTTTACTTTCGAGAAAGAGAAGCCAACTCTGTGTTTTAAAAACATAGTTTAATATTGCTGAAGACCATTTCTTGACCCTCGACAGTTTGTCCCCAACTGTACAAAACAATGTGGAACTCACTGAAAATTAAATTCCACTAATTATGTTTTGTTTTGATGAAAGTAAGACCCAACTTGTAGGCGTTATGACATAAAGCTGCCCGTTCCGTCTCACAATTCAGGGTGCAATTATGGGGGTCGACCGTGTATGTCATGGGTAGGCTTTATACGTGATGGACTGATGAACATAAGGCCATGACCTGTAAAACTGCTTTAATTACTCCATCCTCGATAGTTACCGCTACTGTCGTAATATTGGTTTTGAAGGTTGATGAAAGTTTTGATACCCCCGAAACTGGCACGTCTGGTGTTCTTCCCATGAACTGCAGGTCGAAATCAGAACAAGGTGGGCCATTTTCAGCCTCAAGGCAATTATCATGGTCAACGTGGTTAGATATGGCGTCGTGCCGAGCTGAGGAACTCATGAAGTCAAGTCTACCAGATTTACTAGAAACGCCAAGTTAAATTGTATTATATCCTCGCTGCATCCTCAAGACAGGACATGTATTCTTACATGCTTCCCCTAACTGAGGGAAGTGCAGGAACCATGGCGAAATTTATGTACACATGCATGATTTTGATCCTTATCTAAACAATAACAAACAGATCATTGACCAGAGCCGAATGGAGTCAAAAAGTGGGAGGGACAGGAAGTTGTGGTGCAATTGTGGTGAGAGGCGACGCCGCCAGCTTACAAAATGTGAAGCACATGCTGAGGTTCACGTCAGGTTAACATCGAAAAGCATGAAGCTGAAAGCAAACTATACATGCACTAGGAGTAAAGGCGTCCATCTCTTTGTGAATTTGTCCATTGGGGTTTGTGCACTGTTAAAAAGTTGGCAATCATATTGAGCGTTTCATTTTTCACAGAAAGTATGAAATTAGCTGCGTGGAGTATTAATTTTTGGCTAAAATATGACCGGCCATAGCAAAATGGAAAAGATTTTCACTGGGTTTCTGAAGCCCGGCATCCTTGATGAAATTAGACTAGAATATGCTAAATTTATTGAGGCGAAGCAAAGAAATAATTTTACAAGATGAGGAGACTTGACACTTTGGCTTCTGGACTACATTAGGCAGGACGTCTTGTAGGATGGAAACTACGCCGACATATGTTCATTTTCGGAAATAACCATTTTCGGAAATAACCGTTTGCCAGTTAAAACTGGCAAACGTTTCTTCAAATTCTCGGAATCCAGGTGAAGCATGGAAAGATCTTCCACTTGTCAGTAAAACCTTGCAACCAATCGTGAGTTTTAATAAGCATGTCAAGGAGCACACTGTAATTTGTATAAAATAGTAATTTGAGTAACTTTTAACATTATTTCTTACAGGAATTTCGATTGAATTTGATATTCATCGTTAATGTGCTTATATACATGTACATGTCTGGTTTTATGATGTCTTTCTACTTTAGCTATGTATGTTTTATGTCTTGTTTATCTATCAATGATTTTCCTCCGTGGAAAGCTATGCTGTGCACTAATCGGAGTTTACCCTCATTAAAGATTACATTCACAAAAGTGAATAAATAAAGTAAAAGACTCCAATTACTATAATGTGCATTACGAATTTGTGCATTACGAATCAGTTCTTCGGGAAATCCTAATTCAACCGAATGGGAATGGATCAGTGATAAAAAGAATATGGGGGTAAAATAATCATGCCACTTTGAAGGAAACGACAATGAAGTCCACACTTCCCGGATTCTGAGTTATCTTGTCATCTGTTTGCGTATGCCACGAGGTATTTGGAAAGAGTTTTCACTTGCCGGATTCACTGTTCAATGAAAAAAACGCGCCATTTCAACTCATTGTTTTGGTTTTACCATACTGTGTGTGTTTGGAGTGTGTTCGACGAAGGCAAAAACTCCAAGCAGGATGTAGGCAGATAGACACTGGAGGGCACGGCCTCCTGTAATGTGATGAGCTTCGACCAGGAAATCACCGAAATTGGGTCCAACAAATTCAGTCAGCCCTCAAAGCAGGTCTTGAACGGCACTAGGGCTCCAAGTTGAAA